TCTAAGTCAACCACCATGGCCAATGACCCAGAACTTCAAAAGCCCTCGACGGCATACACGGCTAAACCTGCTCATCTGCATGTTACCCACGTGGAGGTAACATTCAAACAGGCAGGGTGAGTAAAACGATTCATGATAATCAATGTAGGAAATCAACATATAAACTAGCGTCATTTTCATATTCAACATCATCATATTCATCAAGGGACATCAAAAGCCACAACATCATAATTTACTCAAGATCATCTCATAAATGCAAATGTAACAAGACTCAATGCATGTGGTACCAATCATCACAGCTCGATGGACACTGGGCCATCAACCCTCCATAGATCCCCATCAATAGGATTGATTCTACTCAAGAACCGGAGCACATCAAAATACCCCACATCCGCACAATGGGATTGAAGCCAAAAAAATCAAGGTCCTGAACTGAAGTCCGGATGCACATGAATACATGCTGCACACGCCAATAATCATTCTCATAATAACATCATAGGTGCATCATCATTCATCATAATCATCACCATCAAAAATCATGTCATCATAGAATCATCAAAACTCATGGAAATATCACCATAGTTCATCAATCATTACATCATAGGAATCATCATATAATCATGTACAAATCACATAGAATTCACAGTCATACTCATATTCATTCGTCAAAGAAATCACAGCATCAAAACATCAAGGCACCGCTGCACAAAATCAGAATTCGAGAAACTCTGCTACGTTTGCTAGCAAGTTCGCTGTACGATTCTGGGGCGAGTTTCTTCATTGTGCGAAGGATTCTTCGCAGTGCGAGTCTGGGACGAGCTTCGTTCGCTGTACGAACACGCGATGACAGCAAAACACTGTTACGCACCAGAACCTAAAATCAACCCAAAAGTCCCATGATTCACTTCCCAAATAATCCAAAAACATCCCTAAATCATCCCTAAGGTCTTACAGGGATAAAGACACGAAATATACGACTTATTAGGTCAATCCCGTATCATATTCATGCTCTAATTCCATAAGTCCTTACAACTACACCACAACCATTAGAGTTCCTCATTATCAAATTTCCCTACAGGGTTAGACAAATGTCAAATCAGAGCTTTGGCCACGAAGACCTAATTCCCTTTAACCCAAATAAATCCCTATGGTTAAAATCTCAATAATAGATTTAGGCCACGAAGGCCAAATTCCCTTTATCCTATAATCAGCCTCAAACTCTTTAAACCCTTAAATCGGCCTTAAATACATTGAAATTACACATTAAAAACAATGAAGGCAATACTCCTCATACCTTAATTGCCGACTCTAAGCCTTCTCAAATATTTCAGAAAACCTTTCGAAGCTTTTGCCTCAAACCTCCTCCTCAGAGCTCTGACCTTAATTCTTTTCACGGTCTAACAAAATGAATCTTAATCCCATCACAATTCCCTTTTTGTTAAACCTAACCTTGAGCCTTAAAATTGGGCTTTCCAATATTATCCTCACTAACTCCTCCTCAATTGTCCAATTTGTCTTTAGTTAACTTATATTTATTTAAATTAATAATAATACCAATATATTCATATTATATACTATTATTTAAATAAACAACTTAAAATCCATAACTCTCAATATTTCACAACAACCACCGAAAATTACCAAAATGCGAATATTCTTATTTAAATAAATTAAATAAAAATTCCAATAAATTTGGGGTGTTACAAAGAGCATCCCTCAATCTTAACATCCATGCGTATCTTCAATAATTCATCGTAATTGAGTTACCATACAATTACTCATACTTGCACATATTTATGAATCGTCAACACACAATTTACTTTCAAATGGTATATAACACATTTTACAATAGAATCACAACTATATTATCATTACAACAAGCAATAAATATCATGCATTTCATGTTGTCACACACCAAAATATACTTATACAATCACACACATAAATATTTGATAAATTATCCACAAATAATTTTACAACCGGTAGGAAACAATGCAACAATTCATTAATAGAACATATACACAATTGACCTTCCAAACATATTAGATATACAAATATTAGGCAAACAATTATATCATATATACTATATTATATATCTATTCATTAGCTTTACGACGCTTCGAACGGGGACCAAAACGGACTTACGGATCAAAAGTTATGATCGAGAGAATTTCGGGTATGAAATCTAGCGAGCTAACACAACCGCCCGTGTCAGGGGATACGACCCATGGCACTTCAAAATCAGAAAATCGCGTTTTTGTACTTCAAAACAGAGGGGCTGACACGGCCACCCATGTCAGATGACACGGGTCGTGTCATAGCCCAGAAAAACTCATTTTCACTGCTGCGTGTTGGAGGCTTTTCGGACCTCCGATTTCGATTCTGTAAAATGCTTCAGTTCCAGAATTCGAAATACTACCATTATATGACAATTATAACAACCCACAAGACATATTTAAGGATCCTACCATCACACATCATGTAATTATCAATTTTAAAACCATGGAAATTAGGGGTTTTTATCCTAAATATGATATTACCTATCATACACTATCATAACCATGTAAAGACCCATCCTTACATTGGTTTTTTTTATGAACTCTTGAGTTTTCTCCTTAGGTTTTCTTCTCCTCTTTTTCCCTTTTCCTTTTCTCTATGTTAGCTTCTTTTCTTCTTTTTCTCCTTTTAACTCTATTTTTCTCTTTATATATAAAACCCTTATAACAACTAATTCTAGTAACTAATGGACTTACTAATCATACCCACACATTTACTCTTCACATTCTCATCTAATAGGCCCAATTATCTTATTTCTATTATTATTATATAATTTCCACCAAATAAAATAATCCAAATAAATCAATTACGCACAAAATCACATAATTAATTAATTAATATAATATATATAAATAATTACTAAAAATTGGGGTATTACAACTCATGCTACTAATCAACACAGTAAAATAAAAGATACAAGTGAACATCAACTTACAAGACTATGTCAAAAGTTTGCGCATTGTTAGATGAATATCTAAGATCTAAGATTTGAAAAAGGTTTTGTCAAGACCCACAAATAAGAAATCAAAGACAACATCAATATTGAATCAAAAGTAGTTCACAAACATATATTATATGAAATACATAAGGTATTAAAAGATTACATCCAAACCCAACAAGAAATCGAAGCTCTTACCTTCACCCTCTTAAGGGTTGTGTTTCTCTCTCTAGAATATGCAACAACAAAAATGAAGAGAGATAAAGTTCTGATATAAGTTATAAAAGTTGTACAAGAGTTATACAAAAGTTATTTCTAAAAAGTGAGAAAAGTACATATATAGTAAAAACAAAATCTGTCATGTTCGCCTAGCAAACGTCCTATTCGTCCAGCGAAGACCATTTTTGGGCACTTGAAGTGTCTCAGGAACAGTTAAACCGCTCTTGGAAAATATTTGAGTTCGTCGTGCGAGTATTTCTTCGCACATCGAACTGCTTCGCTACAGACTCGCCAAACGAACTTTGGGTCCTTTTCCTACCACCTATAGTCTGGGCTGGTTCGTTGGGGTTTCGCCAGGACCTCGCACAACGAGCATCCGATTTCCCCTCGCTGGTGTACGCACAACGAACATGTTGATTCCTCTTCTTTTTTTTGCTTCCTTATCCACTTCACATGTGTCTTAATCATTGATGTTTTATGCATATATCCTGCACAATAACACACACATCAAAGAATTCAAAGGTATTTACAAAATGTTGAAGAATCACACAAGAACAAGAAATAAATCTATTAAAACATGATAATTGAGTTGAAAAATGTCAAGAAAGATGGTTCAATTTAAGTCAAAATTTGCACTTAATAGTTGATAAATGCATATGCATGAAATTTTTGATTTTTTAATATGTAAAGAAGATTTTTATGAAATGTAATGTCATGCTATGTGTGAATGCAGAAAGGTATGATGTGATTTTAAATAGTCTGCGTAAGGTTCTAATGACAGAAAAATTCTAATTGCTTTTCACATAAGGTTCTCACTAAAATAGATCTGAGATTGTGATAAAAGTTCCTAAAATCATGAAAAACATTCTGTCATTCTAATCGACTTCAAATCTTTATATCCATAATTTCTTATTCCAATACAAAACCCTTTCTATTTTTATCTTTTGCCTTTAAACTTACTCTATACTAATACGAAATAGTTAAAAGATGTAATTAAATATCACTATCAACAATATTAAATTTTGGATTCTTAACCAACCAAATCACCATTTAAGTTTTTTTTTTAGCCACCAAAACTACTTCTAGTTAACAAATGAGTTATGATACATGGACACCAAAAAATTTCTAACACTATAAGGACACCGTATATTTCTCTCTCTATCTTTTTACTACTTTCTAGTAATATATATTTTTATAAATCTTACAAGTATACTCATACACCAAAAATTACAAAGGACACTGTAAGATGTCGAATTGGCGAATGTATAAATATCAATTCTGTTAACAAAAATGACGTTAAAATGAAACCCACAGATACTACATTGTTATGCCAATATGTGTATAGATTATTAAAGTGAGCCACATGTTACGGATGTCGATTTTACAAATCACAAATATATAATAATAATAACTATAACATCGAATCACTTTCTTTGTTTCTGTGAAGATACTCATTTGTTAGTTTTTTTCCACCAAAAACAAATGTACTCTAGAAGTACCAAAACAGTCAAAACCTAGTTGTTATTAAAAAATAAGATTAATGTTTCATTGTATACTTGAAATGAATTAAATAACTCCCTAGTCATGTATTCAGAACTAAGAAAGTGACTCTTTAATTTTTTTTGTCATTCAATTATCTTACCCAAAGATAATGCTACAGGTCATTATCACTTCACCTTGCACAATAATAGTCAATTCCTCTACACAACATTTATCTATATCTCTCATTCATATCTCCCTAAAACTAAAATTTCTTTGAAGGTGATATTGATTGAAAATCAACAAGATGCTAGGGAAAAAGATTGTATCAATCAAGAAACTAGCCAAAAAGGTGAAACTTGTAGGTAGAGTTGACTCTGAACTTGCTCAATACGAGTTGTTGAAGGAAAATGAAGAAGAAGAAAAACACCCAATTGGTAAAAATATTGGGTCCAAAAAAAGTGGTGTTTTTGCACTATATGTTGGGGAGGAACGAGAGAGATATGTGGTTCCAACCGGTTACCTTTGTCATCCCTTATTCAAGATGTTGTTGGAGAAAGCATACAATGAATTTGGATTTCAACAAAGGAATGGTTTGGTTGTTCCATGTAGTGTTTCAGCTTTTCATGAAGTGGTTAATGCTATAGAATGTAACAATTGTAAGTTTGACATGGCAAATATTTGTGATGAATTGATTTGAAGTATGTGCTTGTATCATAGATAGATATAGATGTTGTAATGCATACATATTTCCAAGTTTAATAGAGCTAGCTTTCAATTTGATTTTTTTCCGATAGATACAAAATATCTTTAACACGAAGATAATTTAATATGGCGACATGTTTATGGCTGAATTTGAATTTAGAACTCTAGTTAAGTTGGAAGAGATTCTTACCATCTCATCCAAGTGTTCTTGATAGCTTTCAATTTGATTGAGCTGTTGTTACAAATGAATTGTAATTGATTTGTTAGATTAATATATAATTTGATGAAGTTTTTACGATTATGAATTAGTTATAAATTACGTGTCTATGTAAAATATTACTAGTTATAGTTAGATTTGTCAAATGGGCCGGTCCAACCAAACCTATGTTTGGGGAGGCAAAATATATAAATGGGCTAAAGTGAATTAGTTGAATTACTTAATGGACTATTATAAATAGAGAGAAATCATAAACTTAATTAATTGATACTTAAAATATTAATCAAATCAACATTCATATATGAATACCACACTAAATAGAGATTAACTAAATATTATCTCCAATACTCATTTCCCAATCAATTTTTTGATCAAATCATCTTAAAAACAAATCCTCATTCTTTTTAACTTTTCTTTTCACATGAAAACACAGTTAGTTATGCAATAATATCTTACCTTAATATTTTTTTCTAAAAATTAACTAAAATTATCTTATAAGTTTATTTTTAATGGGACAGTCTAAAGTCCCTTTTGACCAGCCCGACCCATGAAAAACATAGGCCCGATTAGATGGATTAAAAAGATAGAGTTGTGTTTTAAAGGTTTTTTTTCCAGCTCAACCCACTGTAAAATATAGGGATGATGGATCGGCCAAAGGGGCCGAGCCCATTTCGACATCTCTAGTTATAGTCTCATAGCTCAGATGATAAAATATTATAGTGAAATTTGATCTATTGAGCCAAAGAATTGGAATCTATACCAATACCACTAAAGTGTTTGTGAAATTTGTTGTTAAGTTTTTAAAGAGAAAAAAAACTATGGCTATAATCCAATAAATTGAAAGTTCATCTACTAAACACTGAAATAGTTTAAGGTTTTAACTTGTCACCCCCACACTTGTACCTGACACCCCCATAGTTTTATAATTCCATACCTGTTTCTGACAATAATTTGAAACACATTTTCGTACAAAATTTCTGTTAGACAAATAAAAATTTTCTGTACAAACTAAATTTTTTATAGTGTATTTATAATTTCTGGTGTACCAAAAATTCTTAAATTTCTGTGAATTTGCATATTACCGAAAATGTTAAAAGTACCATGTTATACCGAAAATTTCAACCAAAGCGGAATTTTCGGTAATTTAATTTGTTTGAAATTTTAAATGGTCAGAATTTTGCCAACAGTTTTGGACGACTCTGATTGCACCGACATTTTTGTCTAGTCAAAAATAAATGCAAAGTTGTATAAATAAGGGTCACCTTTTGTTTGATAAAAACATCTCAAAATGTCTCTTCCTTAATTTTTTATCAAGGCAAAAGTGTACTTCAACGGAGCTTCACCTCCTGTAGAGTTTTGGCCTTCAAATGACACAACATCTCTCGCTGCCTTAACATCTAAGTTGAATGAGTTTTTGCCTGATACTGATAACAAAAAGGTGATAAAGATTGAGGTTCATGAAGATCGGATTGATACTTATGGAAGGGTGAAAGACAACCTTATTGAGTTGAAGACCCACGAAAATGTGAAGGATATGTGAAGATCATTTCGCCGTAGGTTAATAAAGGGGCTGATCTAGTTAGATGCAAAGATTTCAAGGTTTGTCGACAACATAATTAAGATGATGAAACATCCATAATCATTTAGTAGTGTCTAGATTTTCTATTTTTATCATTTTCTTAAGTCATGTAGTCTATTGTCAAATATTAATTTATGTTCATATTGCGTCAATAGAAGATAAATATTATCTAATAAAAAGTTCTGACAAAGATGTTAGAGTAATGTTACATGTAATATACAAATAATACATAAAAATAAAAATAATGTATAAATAGGTCCCCTACAGGCTATATGTGCAGCCCAAGATAATCCAGTAAAAATCTCATCATTTGTGTTTACCAAATCCATGAGATTATCCATAATAACTATAATCATCTGGAGGCGCTGCTGGTCATTTGTATCAACTGAAGCTGGTGGTGGCGGCGACACGTCATCGATGGTGGGGAAATGATGCACCCTTCTATCATAGATGGTGGAGAGAAGCTCGTATAACCAACACTGATATCAAAACATAAACACAACAAATAATAATTAAGAAATGTTATCCGTAACAATTAAATAAGAACTAGTCAGATTTGTAGCCCTCATGTGTTGCTTGTTTTTCCTAGCCAAATTGATTAATGGGATTGTGTTTAGATGCTTTGGTTGGTGTGATGTCTGCCTATTTCTATGGGCGTGCATTCTAAGTCTCTTGTTTTTTCTTATCCTCCATTTCATGCCAGGCTTCATTACCATTTTATTGTCGTGTCTTATTAAAATTCCCTAAAAATCCTTGCTCTTGAGACTATACTGCAAGTTGTGATTCCTTATTATTGTGTTTCTTAGTGATATGTTATCTTTTTTTATTTTGTTGCATTAGGTAAAATTTTGGTATGCTCTCTTTATATACTTGATTATGTTGAATTGTAATTTATTGTATATGATCATTCCTTTGAGACTATTTTCTAACTTGTCATATTTTTTTCCTTCTTATTCCTGCTTAATTAATTCCCTCGTTGGTGAAACCCCAAAAAACAATAAATAAATTAAATAAATGATTGAGATCTAATAAAATAAAAGTGAAAACATGTAAGATCACTCACATGTATTTTTTAAAGATGGTTGGTAGAATTTTCTTACTTCTCATAAGATTTTTCTTCTCCAATCATATATAACAAAGTACATACTTACCTATGACTTGTAGTTAATTTGAGATGCATTTTTGATTGGTGATCGGCAACTAATATAAACTCAATTTCATTTTGACCCATCTTCTAGTTTATTATATATACTAGGTATTTAATTTATGTAAATGTTTTTATGCTCTTTAACAACAATTGTATTAAAAAAAATTGAGTTTACTTGTTTGTAATTTTTATTATGAAAATAACGTGGATGTCATAAGTACATATGTTTGAAATTCTCTACGTAAGCAACATGAAGAACAACTATGAATTGAACATTTTTTTAGAATATGAAAATGATAGAAGTAGTTGATATTGTTGTTCCCAAGCTAGGTAAGCCTTAAAAAAAAGTTAAAACAATGTGATGTTTTATATACTAAAATTTTGGTGGAATGATAGAATTGCCAGAATGGACACCAAAGAAAATTGGATGAAATAAATATTTTGGGGCCATGATCAGAATTAGGAATTTTTTATAAGCAAATAAATTCATTCAAGAGAGTATAAGAGATACTCAAGCCAACATACAAGAGGAGTCATTACAACGGTGAGGATGACACCACAAGCCAACAAAAATTACATAATGAAGCCTAATGGTGCATTGCACCAATCAAAGAAGCTATATGAGTATGATTTTTTGTGAAGACCAAGCCAAAGCCAAGAGATGAATTTGACGTTAAACTCTATATCCCTTGCATGACAACTATCTTCATTAAAAATCACGGTGTTTCACTTGTTTCAAATGCACCAACAAGTGATCATTCACAAAACTCCTTCATAATGTTTCCCAACCTTCCCTTTAAAAGCATCCAACACAAGCTTAACACACAAGATACAATGTATTAACAATGGTCTAGGAAAACCAATCTAATTCCAAACATGCTTCCAAACCAATTTTGTGGCCGGACAGTGGATCATCAAATGATCAATAGATTCTAGCTCTTCATTGCAAAAGGTTCAATTGGCCAAAGAGATATCATGGATGATGTATCATCTAAAGAGTTGTTGTCTTGTAGGGAGCCTATTGTGAAATAATCTCCAACAAAAATCCTTCACCTTAGATGGTACTTTCATCTTCCATAATTTCCTCTAAATTGTGCTCAACTGATCGTGAATATCCTGCTTCAGTTTAAGAACCAATAGGTTGTTATAACAATTTTTGACAGAGAAAGTCTGATGTGGAGCAGCCTCCCATATGACTTGATCAAGTTCCAACATGTTAGAAGTGATCTCAGCCAATATCAACTTCAGGTATTGGAGTTCTGCTGCATGATTTGGATCCTTAGAAGATCTAGACTCATATATCCTCCATTGCCAAACACCATCATTTCAAATTCCACAATCATAAACCATAGCGAATTTGTCAACTGCATGACTAAATAGAACAGGAAAAACTTCTTCCAAAGAGGAGGGGCCAATCCAAATACCTTTCCAAAATGGAATTGAAACCCCATTGCCAATTCTGAATTTTTCCACATATCTTAATCCAATATTTTCCTCCACACAACCCTTTAAATTCTTTCCAATAAGCATAATATCCATCCTCCATAAATATTGTAAAGGGGAATAACATTTGTCACTATCCAACCACAGGCTCCTTATGATTCCTCCATATCTATGAGACACAATTACACTCCAATGACATCTCTTTCATTGAAAAATCTCCAAATCCATTTGCACAACAAGGCTTCATTGATAGTGCCAATTCCCTTCACACCAAGACCACGATCTGCCTTGCTTTTGAAAACGGTTTGCCAACTGATCCAATTAAAACCCTTTCCAAATTTCAATCCATGCCAAAGGAAATGTCTTTGGATTCTAATGATTTCCTTCTTTACAGTTTCGGGCATCTTGTAAAAAGAAATGTGATGAATTGGAAAATTATTCATAATAGAATTCAAAAGGGTCATTCTGCCACCTAATGACAAGAATCTGCCCTTCCACTTAGAAAGCTTGCTCTTCAAGATAGTGATGATGTGATTCCAAGCTTCTATTCTCCTAGGATTGGCTCCAACCTTGATTTCTAAAAATTTAAAGGGAATCTTATCATTGCTACGAAAAATAAAATTAGAAGCAACCAACAAAAAAAGGGGAGACAAACTAATGTCATACAATTTGCTTTTATTCATGTTGATCCTTAAGCCAGATAACATCTCAAATGCTCTTAAAATCAATTTAATGACCCACAAATTACTCCAAGATTCATCTCCAATCATGATAGTGTCATCAACAAACTGTAAAAGACTGAAAGAAGTTTCTCCAATTTCAACATCCATCCTAAATTCTCTGAAAAAGTTGGTGTCCACAGCATTCTTCATGATTCCAGCCAAACCATCAACAACAATGGCAAATAAAAATGGTGAAAGTGGATCACCCTGCCTCAATCCCTTAGAAACCTTAAAATCTGAAGTTGGACTCCCATTGATTAGAATGGACATGCTGGTGTTAAAGACTCCACCTTCCATCCAACTTAGCCATTTGTTTCCAAATCCCATCTTGCATAACATATATCTAAAAAAATCCAAACTAACATTGTCATAGGCATGAGCAAAGTCAACCTTGAACAATAAGAAATCTTTTTTCCTCCTCTTGGCATAATCTATAACTTCATTAGTGACCAATACACCATCAAGAATTTTCCTTCCTGGAACGAACCTAGTTTGAGATTTGGAGACTAAACTACTAATGGTTTTCTTGGTTCTATTAGCCAATAATTTTGCCACAATTCTGTATACACGGCCAATTAGAGAGATTGGTCTAAAATCATCCATCATTTGAGGGTTTTGGATTTTTGGAATGAGTGTCAAGAAGGAGGCAATTATGGCTTTAGGAAGGATGTCAGTTTTGTGAAATTCTTGGATGGAACCTATGATTTCCTCTCCCAAGAAGTCCTAGTAGTTTTTTAAGAATGTGATGTTAAACCCATCTGGTCTAGGGATTTTGTCCTCATCACAATCCCAAATGACACCCTTGATCTCCTCCCTAGAAAATTCCACTTCAAGGCAATGTCTGTCAGCCTCTGTCAAACAATTAAAGTTCACCCACCCAATGTTGGTCTGCATCCACCTTGTTCAATGAATCTGAGATGGAAATGTTTTTTAGCAGCAAATTTTATCATATTCACATCTTCCACCCTTACTCTATCAATGACTAGGGAAACAATGTGATTCTTATTTCTTCTTAAAGTTATCATACTGTGAAAGAATCTTGTGTTAAGGTCACCCTCCTTAATCCATTTTTTCCTAGACTTTTGTTTAAACAAGCTTTCTTTTAGGTGTAGTTTGATCCAAATAAGATGTTGTGCCTTCTTCCTTTCCTCTACTATGTCAATGGAAGACTGTGAACTAATGATGTTGTCCAAGTTGTTGAGGTCATCCATAACTTTCTCAATCTTGGGGTCAATGATTCCAAAGACCTCCTTGTTCCACTTCTTTCAATGTGTAAGCTCTCTTGCCTGAAACATGAAAAGAAGTCCATTACTCTTCCACAAAAGTTAAGAACTTTTTGTTATCAAACCAATAATTTTTTGATCTAAAAGGAATGATACCCCAGTTCAAGTGACTTCCTTTAATCCATATTGGACAGTGATCTGAGACATCCATACACCCAATTTCTTATGCAACAAGTTTCCATGAACCTAAGATGCCTTTAGGTACAAGGAAATGATCAAGCATGATCTTTGCTTTCCCATCTGAGTTGAACCAAGTGAATTGGTTTCCTATGGTTGGTAGATCAACCACTTCCATTAAATCAATTAAAGAAGCAAAATCTTCCATCTCAACTCTATTGCTTCTATTACTGCTTCCCACCCTCTCACCACAATGTTTAACTGAGTTAAAGTCTCCCCCAATTATCCACTCCCCAACCCTTAATTTTCCCTTCCATTCAACAATCTCACTCCACATTCTTCTCTTCTCAGTCAGTAGGTAGGGTAAATAGATGTTCAAAAAGTAAAGAGTATTGCCTCTATGAAAAGCTTGGATTCCTATGAAGCCATTGCCTTTGTAGCTCAATATTGGATTAATGGTCCCACATTTCCAAATAGTAATTATCCCTCATGAGTGGCCACTTGCATCTAAGGCTGACCATGACACTTCCACCGGCCCCCACATGTCTCTTATAATAGCTTCAGTCATACAGTTGTTTTTTTGTCTCCTGAATGAATATTAAGTCAACATTGCCTTTCTCCACCAGCTACCTTATTCTTTTTCTTTTAATGGTCGTGTCACACCCTCGATTGTTGATAGATGTAATATTCATGATGGACTATTTGAATTCTCTTTCCTCATAATGGCACCTTTGAGATCCCTAGCCGCCATATCCCTGATGATATCCTCAAAGACATCATTTGATGTGTCCTATATGATCCCAAGTGATTTAATAGCCATCCACACCTTGGATGCAACATCATGATCCAAATTTTTGCATGCTTCAATGTTGCCTTGCTTGATGTCTCCCGTTGAGATGGAGTCACAACACAAAATGGAGTCACCCAAGAAATTTGTGGATTCATTAATAGAAATTGAGGGCTGAAAAGAGAAGAGCGTAATGAGTGGTATGAAGAAGTTCAAGGGTTCAAAATTGTTTGTTTCAAGGCTCACAACTTTGCCCAATACATCCACCATAAGTTTTTTCTTCTTAAATTTCTCGGGCCTATCAATAACAGATGCCTTTGACAATGGCCCATTCATGCTTCTTGAGATGAGGTCTGATGGTTCCTCCACAAGCAAATCACCTTGTGTTTTAGTTGATTTTTTATTTTTCTTTCCACAAATCTTGGGTATCTAACAAGAGCCATTAGCCAAAAAATATTGTTTGGTCATTTTCCCATAGGCCAAAGTTGACTTTTTCCTACCCTTCGTTTTCCTCAGAACCGTTGTTTCAAGGAGCCCACTCTTTGCAACCTTTTCACTTTGCTCTGCGGTGCTGCAAACTTCTAGGGCTTCATTTGGACAGCTTGTTACATTAACTGTGATCTTTGTGTTAGTTTGTTAAGTATTCTACTGCACGACCACCACATCAGTCGTGTCATCCACCAGCTTTGTCTTGGAGGGTGAAATACCGATGACAGGGACATCATTATCATCATCTTTCCCATCTCCATTATTTTCCCAAACACTGTTGCCTTCGTCAGAGGAAGAGTTCTCAGAATCCTTTGAAGAAATTTCATGATCTTTGGGTATGACTATTTTCTTGGGACCATGCAATCCTTCCACCATTCTTACACGATAGACATTGTCATATATATCCACATTGATAGTTTGATTAAGGACCAACAAATACTTTGTTCTAACTAGTATTCTAGCCATATCAAAGTTCTTATGAAGCCTTGTTTCATCATCAACACATATGTATTTCTCCACAAAAGAAGTGAGAAAATAAAAAAAAAACTCGGGACACCGTGCATGACATGGAATACCAAAACACGAGATCCATGTTAATCTTTCATTATCAATGTCACCTGGTGACCACGACCTTACTTCTATGAACCATTGAGCTAACCAATCACTAGCGTCCTCTGCCAAAGCTTTTAGTTCCCCTTCCTCCATTTCCTTAATTAAATATATGTTTGCACCCATGTGAGTGATCTTAATCGAGAAATATCCCTCCAAGTGAAAGGATTCCTGAATATTGTACGTCATCCATGGATTTGCCATGACCCCAACATAGGCTTTGTGGAATCTAGTGTTTTTTTCTTCCTTGGTATTGAATTGTAAGTGAGAAAACACCGGTTTTTTCTCATGCATATGATGTCTTTATTTCCACTGCCTTGTGTTGCCTTTATCCAAATTTCCATCATTCACCACCTTAGTGTACGTTTTGGAAGCCCCTTCAAATTTCTTAACATTGTTGTTATGGTTGAAAGTGTTTCTCTTATTGTCCCTCTTCCCTTGTTTTCATCTTTTTTAAAAGCTTGTTTATTCCTTTGAAATCTTGGGACATTAGCAAAGAGTTTCATGTTGTTGAGAAATATATTATCCAACTTCACGACCAAGGTTCTCATTTCAGAGACATTGAAAAACCTTACGAAGTCGTATCTCCTACCATTCTTGTCACGCCTTGATGGAATCATCACTTTATCAATGTCACCATATGCCTTGAAGATGTCGTACATCTCCTTAGCACCATGAGTATATGGAAACATGGCGAAAAATAAACTGGTACGCGTATTTTGAGCATTTTCAGACCTCCTCCTATTGAAGCTCAAGTTCGGCTTGTTTTTGTGAAAACCTGTAGCTTTTCAACCCCTCCTCTTTACATGTTGCCACTCATTAGAAGGCTCACCCATGGTTGACTCAATCCAAGTAGGTCCTTAATCTAAAAACTAGGAATTTAAACCACCTTGAATGAAGAATCAACCATGAAAAACCTTGACTTTTGAACAAAGTGATTTACAACCACTAGAAGCCATTGTTAATTGATGAGTGTTTGATGCATGTTAAGGGTTACTTTATATATAAATAAATATATATAAAGAGAATGTAAGAATCTCACATAACCATTGGATACCGTAACAATAAGATATGATAGAGAGTGGGAGAATGAAAGGTTAAAGATAAAGTGATTAAGTATTTCTCATTATTTATTTTCGGAGAGTACAATGTCTCATTTATATTTGTAAAATAGCTCATAATAAAACTAACGAGTTTGGTTATAGTTAATTAAAGAATAATAAGTTTGGTTATAGTTAGTTAAAGAATAATAATCAATCTGTTAGGACCAAAGAATCAATAAAATTTTAGATTACACACAAATTTTTTAAAAATTAAAACATTTAATTTTTACACCAATAAAGTGAAACAAGTTATTATCATCTCTGATTGTCTTAAGAATTTGTAATGTTTCTGTGAGGATTCGAGTACCCATTGTACTCGCTTTTTCTCTTAATCCATTGCTTTTTTAACAAAACAAAAAATCTTAGATATTGTACTTACAAGAAACTAAAGACATAGTAAGATGAATCAACTAACTTATTATGTCTTTTAACTTCTATGTCACAATGATCTTGTAACTCATAGACCATTGTCTGAGGTTAAGAATAATAGAAAGGAAAATTCAAAGAGTCAAGAGAAAACACCAGAGCTACTAGTATCATCCAATGAATTGAACCTTTTGAAATCAGAGTCTTAAATTAGATGCAACTTCTAACTATTCTAAGTGGTTTCGAAATGCTTACGGGTCTTAAAGTCAATTTAACCAATAGTAAGAAAATTCTAACAACTATCTTATTAAAAAAAATACACGTGAATGATATGTTCTCACTCTTTATTACTACATCTAAATTATTCATTTAATCCATTAATTATTTTTGTGAATTTCACTAGTGAAAAAAATCAATATATATTTTATTTATTTTACTTTTTTCACACTCAATGAATCAACAATAAATATTGTCTCTTTCTTAAAAAATAAACTAATAAAAATAATATTACACTAATTATTAACAAATTTAACAATATTACTATAAAAAAATTTAATATTGTGATTTGACCCAAAGACTTATAATTAATATATTATTACTGTAACATTGACTAACTTTCTTAGTGTCTTTGAAAATATGTATTTTTTTTAATCAAAGAGTGTTCTAGAAACTGACTCCTTAATTATTATTTTTATGTCATGATACTGTTATAAGTCATTATCACTTCATGCACAATAGCCAATTCTTCTACATATCATTGTCATCTCTTTGAATTGAAGTATTTAGATTGAACAAGATGTTAGGAAAAAAGATGGTATCACTTAAGAAACTAATCAAAAAGGTGAAGGTTGTAGGTAGAGTTGACCATGACCCTGCTCATAAGAAATTGAAGGAATATGAGGAGAAAAAAAAGGCAAAAGCAAAGAAAAAAAAGTCCAAAAAAAGAGGTGTTTTTGCACTATATGTTGGGGAAGAACGAAAGAGATACGTGGTTCCCATTAGTTACCTTCGACATCCATTATTCAAGATGTTGTTGGAGAAAGCATACAATGAGTTTGGGTTTCAAGAGAGAAATGGTTTGGTAGTTCCATGCAGTGTTTCAGCATTTCATGAGATAGTTAATGCTATTGAATGTAAGAATTGTAAGTTTGACATGGCAAATATTTTCGATGAGTTGATTTGAAGTAAGGGCATATATCACACTTATATCTTCATAAGTAGATAACATATATGATATATCATACACATAGATTGATATTGTTTTCAATTAATTTATCTGACCTTATAGATTAGTGATTTGATGAGGTTTCAAATTGGTTTATGAGTAATGATTGATGGTGTTGTTGTGTATGTTAAATTTGTTAAATATGTTCTTCTTTGTCTTGTATCACAATAGTTGAGTTCATGTATATAAATTAGTTTTAATTTTTGGGATAGTGTAAAATAGATCTAATTAGTCTCATAGATTTAATTCATGATATTAATTCAAACCCATAATTAGGGACTAAAAAAAGAAAAAAAAAAGGTTACAAGGATTAAATCAAAAAATGCGCCTATTTATAGGGACGAAAAAGAATATTTAATCCAAAATTTTGGATTTGTGTTCATATCTTCATCCCTAACCATCATACAAATCTTGAATTTTTTTAAACTCAACATTATTCCTTGTATATTCCTTATTTTCCCTTTTCATAAAAATAATTTCTCACAACAAAAATTATTTAGGTGATGAAGCTTGCAAACCCATCTCCCATCATTAGAAACAACAACTAAATTAAATAAAACAGATTAAAATTATCAAATGAGAATTTGAAACGGAGTAAAGTTATCAACTCAATACGTAGTCATGGATGAAGGTTTAAAGGAAGAAGAAGAATACATATTAAAGGAGAGGAAGAAAAAGAAGAAGTTCAAATTACAAAATCATTTTATTTTTGGATTCAGTCCTCCTTCCCATTATCTAATAATATATAGGGATCAATAGACTATTTAAGCCTATTTTAATTCTTTAGTTCACGGATATAATAATTAAGTGAAAAAAATGTATAATGAAATTTGGGTTGAGGTCTTATTTCTCTAATCAAGGTAAACATTTTTTTTATTGACCTTGTGAATATATGTTAAATGAACATAAACATAATCATTGTCTAAATACAAAGTATTCAAGAAATTAAAAAAAAAGAAAGAATAGAATGAACTTTTATCTACCATATAAGAAAATATATTGCTCTGGATATTACCCAATTGCCCTGCTGGCCTCACACTCAACCACATGGCTTCATGCAATACATTACTTCTTTTCTCCTTTCACAGCTACACGACATGGTTCACAATCTCGCTTTTCTCAAAATCGAACACTACTTTTGCCAACAGGGTTAATAAAATACAATATATTTA